CTCTGTGGTCTCTGTGGTCTGGTCTCTGTGGTCTCTGTGGTCTCTGTGGTCTCTGTGGTCTGGTCTCTGTGGTCTCTGTGGTCTCTGTGGTCTCTGTGGTCTGGTCTCTGTGGTCTCTGTGGTCTCTGTGGTCTCTGTGGTCTGGTCTCTGTGGTCTCTGTGGTCTCTGTGGTCTCTGTGGTCTGGTCTCTGTGGTCTCTGTGGTCTCTGTGGTCTCTGTGGTCTGGTCTCTGTGGTCTCTGTGGTCTCTGTGGTCTCTGTGGTCTGGTCTCTGTGGTCTCTGTGGTCTCTGTGGTCTCTGTGGTCTGGTCTCTGTGGTCTCTGTGGTCCGGTCTCTGTGGTCCGGTCTCTGTGGTCTCTGCGGTCTCTGTGGTCTCTGTGGTCTCTGTGGTCTGGTCTCTGTGGTCTCTGTGGTCTGGTCTCTGTGTTCGGTCTCTGTGGTCTCTGTGGTCTCTGTGGTCTGGTCTCTGTGGTCTCTGTTGTCTCTGTGGTCTGGTCTCTGTGGTCTCTGTTGTCCGGTCTCTGTAGTCCGGTCTCTGTGGTCTCTGTGGTCCGGTCTCTGTAGTCCGGTCTCTGTGGTCTCTGTGGTCTCTGTGGTCTCTGTGGTCTCTGTGGTCCGGTCTCTGTGGTCTCTGTGGTCTCTGTGGTCTCTGTGGTCTCTGTGACCCTGTTGGTCCCCCAGCTGCTTCCTGAGTTTCTTCTTGCCTCATAAAACCTCGTCAGACTCGGGTCTGACAGCTGGACCCAAACATTCTTCAGACTTTCTATTTTTAGGAGGTTTCATCCAGACCAGTCCTCCAGATGTGTCTCTGATCCTCACAGCTGTTAGACTCCTCAGAGCCAGAACCAGGACCAGGACCAGGACCTGCAGGAGAACTGGTTTCTCTGGGATTAGCCTGGTTTTATAAAGGTCAGAAACTGATCAGAGACCAGCTGAAGTTTAATAACAGGACTCTTCTGGGTCCTGATCCAGAGACCTCAGACTCCTCAGGCTCCTGATCCCAGGTCCTTGGACACTTCAGTTCAAGGTGGTTTTTGTTGTCAGAGGTCAAAGGCCATGATTGATTGATTGATTGATTGATTGATTGACCCCTGTAGATGGTGAGCCTCACCTAGTCCAGGACTCTGGTCTGGTCATGGGAGGCGGAGCTGCAGGGCTCATAAAGTGCTGAGTCATGCTCCAGCAGGCTTCAGAACTGGTCTCGGTTCCTCACTCGAGGTTTCTGACTCTGTCATTTTGGTGAGCCGCAGAGATCCTGTGGTCCGGTTCTGTCTTCCTCCAGAACCTTCAGTTTCTGAAGGGACAGAACCCCAGAACCCTGGTGTGGACCCTGAGCCGAACTTTAGCTACAGTCTGCAGATCAGCTCAGAACTGTGGGGTCCACTGTAGACCCCCAGAGGAGTCCACCATGAGACGGGTCACAGGACCATGAAGACTTAATGAACTGGTCTCTCTGAGGGAACTGGACCTCCTTCAGAACCGGTGCTGTTGTCTAATGGTCCTGGTCCTGGTCTTAGTTAACATAATTTTAAAGACAGTTTTTGTCTCTTCTGTCTCAGGAGGACTAACGTGTCCTCCCTGCACCTCAGGTTCTCAGGATCCACTTGGATCCAGATCCAGAACCAGAGGAGACGTTAGAGTGTGCATGCTGGACACGYGTTTGGGTTTCTACTGGTTTGGACCCACACAGTCCAGGTCCAGCCTGATGGACTGAGAGCTCTGAGAGTCTGGAACAGAAGGAGTTTCCTGGTCCAGTCTGTCAGAAGTGAGTGGGAGGAGCTAAAGACTTCTGCAGGTCCAGGGTCCAAACAGGAAGCTGTCATCATCATGGCTCCTCCTCTCCACATCCTGGTGGCAGACCTGGACTCAGAGACTCWGCAGAGTCTTCATGGGGGGCGAGGAACCGCTC